GGCTCCCGCCGGCTCCCGGCCTTTGTCTGGCAGGCGTGCGGGCCCCACCGGCCGGTGTCTGCGGCGGCACTGTTAGTGTGCCCTGCTCGCTGCCCGCCTCCCAACCTGAGGCCTGCCTGAGGCCTGTCTTGGGCATCCACAGTCCCTGCGGCCGTCACCTGGCTACAGACTTGCTCAAACAATGACGTCAGGAGACTGGGTCCTGCCCGGCAGACACAAAGGCGGGCAGCCGGCTCGCTGCTGCCCCTACAGGACACTCCTCCAGTGGGCGGGGCCTGCAGCCTGCGCTGCCCAGGGGCCGCTTACCTGAGCCCAGCACCGGGGCCTTCTCCCTGGGGCGGGGGCGGTGCTGGCGCCTCCCACGCCCCGCTTCCTCTTGCTTGATCCCGGGTGGCTCTCCCGGGGCAGGTGCTGGCTGGCCTGCTTCTGGGGAGACAGGGAGAGGCCCTGAGGACACCAGCTGTCCCTGGACTTCGCTCCTGCTCCCATCCCGGACGAGGTGTCCGGAGGCAACACCCACAGAACCACAGGCCTGCCGAGGAGAGCCGGGCCGCCCTCCTCTGGGGGGCTGCTCCCCCAGCCCCGCTGGGGCCACCGCGTCCTCACTTGTCAGAGTCCCCACTTCACGTGACTGCGTTCCCGGAGAGGGAACCCTTACGCGAACCGCGCACAGGACAGTGGCTCTGGTGACGTCCTGTCTGTCGGACGCGGCTCTTTTTCTCATCCGCTTACAAGAGAACAGGCCCTGCGCCCCAGGGCTGCAGAGGGGACCCCTTCCTAACCAACCCGCCGCGACGCCGGGCCTGGAAGTGGCTCGGGGAGAGCGGGAAGAACACAAGCCTAGCGACACACTGCGATGAGGGCTCTGTGATGTGGTTTCTCTCACAGTATCTCGCTGCAGGTCGTTATTTTCGACTGCATGGACCACGGAGAGTGACCCCGCAGGTAAGGGGGGACCTCTGCGCGGGCTAAGAATGCCGGCACCTGGGGGTGGAGGGCAGGGGGAGGACGGCCAGGCCCGCAGAGGGCGCTGTGCGCTGCACGGGCCCCGGACTGCGCCCTCCAGCCCCGACCAGTGCGGCTGCCCGGCAGGTGGGCGTGACCAGCCCCCAGGGCCTCCCAGGCCATGAAGCCTGCTGGCTTCCCCTCGCTGGCTCCTTGGCTGTGACAGCCCAGTCTGCTGGGCGTGGAGGGCCCGCAGCAGTCAGGGGTGCGGTGGGCAGCTGCCCCCGCCCACCTGGGACCATGCAGGGTTGCTTTCCACCGCCCCCTTGCAGGCCAGGAGGCCGCCCTCCTCCACGCCGGCCGGGGGACGGTCCAGGCATCGCCGAGCCAGCCAGCGCGGCCCTGTCAGCGCGCGGCTCCTTCTGCCCCGCTGTTCCCGGCCAGTGTCCTCCACGTGCCTTTCGATGGCAAACCTGCCCTTTCGGGTCTGTTCTTTAAAGCCTCGTGATAAGCACTAGGTGCGTGCTCATTAACTGAGAATAAAGAATCCCGGCGTCTTCAGGAGTCATGCCCCTTGCCCATCTCGCTTCCTTCTTAGTGGCTATGAAGTAGGTCGTGCAGAGGCCCGAGCACCCCCGTGTCCAGCTGGTGCCTATTACCACCAGGCTCCGCCCCACCGCGCGCCTGCAGCCGGCCCCCACGTGGCCGTGGCAGGTGCTCCTCCAGGCCAAGGCGCAGGCCAGAGTGCCGCTAGGGCGCCCCCTCTCGAGGAGCCACCTGAGCTCAGGGAGACTGAAGGCTGGGGGGGCTGGGAAGGGGGGACTGGGGACACTGTCTCTTACATAATGAGTGAACAGAGAGCACGCCAGGCTCCCAGTACCTGATGGACACTCAAGTTTCTCACTCGGCCGCCGCCAGATTCTGTTCCCAGGATGAGGGCGCAGCTGCCACACCTCAAGTGGTGGCTTCCTGGGGGGCTGCGGAGGGCACCCCAGGACAGAGGCATGTGCATTTCTCCACCCCTTTGCAAGTCAAAATGCAAAGGTGTCCGGGGAGTCTGGCCAGCCTCAGCTCTCAGGCGGGGCCTGCTCCAGGCCCCTGGGGCACAGACCCCAGGATTGGAAGGAGAACCCCAGACCCCTTTGCTACGAGACTGTGGGGGCGTAGGCGCCAGCACCCGCTGGGGGGCTGGTCTGGTCGGAGGGCTCTGGAAGCAGCTGACGCCGACGGAAGCGACGCTCTCCTGGTGAGCCCGAAGCTCAGGACAGCAGGAGCGCAGACGGTAACCACAGGGAGGCCCAAGTCCCCGGGGACCTCGCTGTCCCCCCCTCCCGCCCCCTCAGGAACAAACCCCTGGTGGGGGAGGCACCTCGGCCCTGCTAGCCTGCAGCTCCCGAGCCGGGTCCACAGCCACACCTGCTGGGGGCCAGCCTGGTGAGCCTGGGGTCACCCAGCCCTGTGACAGGCGCCCGAGGGGCAGGAAGCCTCCTGCAGCTGCAGCCTCAGAGAGGGAAACCACGGAACGAGGCCACACTCCGCCCGCCCACGCCCGCCTCGGCTCTCTGCACCCTGCTAGCCCCACCCCCACCCGCCGGGCCAGAGCCCGAAGAGACCTTCACCTCAGACTCGGCGCCGGCCACGCATCGCCCGCCCCCCGCCCCCCCAGCTTGGAGCTCGGGGCGCGTCATCGAAGGGGCGGCTCCTCCTGAGGCAAACGCCCGACGGCAGAAGGCAAGAAGAGCGCGGGAGCGCCCGGGCTGGCCGGGCCTCGCCGGGGCGCTGCTCCACCGCTGTCTCCACCGCTCCGTGGCCCCCGGCCTCGAGGACGAGGCAGGAGCCAGGCCGGACCCAGCGTGTCGTTTCTTTCGCTGCTGTTGCCGGCTCCCGGGCGGGTGTTGCCTGCCCAGCGCGGCTACCTCCACGCGTGGACGTGTGCCAGCCCCGGGGGACGCCCGGGTGCCTTCCCGTGGGACCAGACACCCCGAAGACCAAGGGCGGCGGGACCTGGGCCAGGGTCCGAGAGCAGCCCCGGGGACGTGGACAGGCCAGGGCAGGGGCCCAGTGCCGGAGGAGGCCCCGGCCGCCTCCGGGGCTCCACAGGCTACGCAGCTCCCCGGGCTGGGTCCGGGGTCCGCTCTGTCCCCTGCCCCCCCCTGCTCACACTGCGGTCTCGGGTCACGGTGGCACAGGCCCCCACGCCACCTCCCCCAGCTACCCTGGCACTGGGCTGTGGGATGGCTGAGTGACACCGCTGCCCACCCCCACCGCTCCCTCTCGCTGAGATGGCCGGCCCGCGGGGTGCAAGGGCCCAGAGCCACAGGGGCCTCGGCGGGCCTCCTCTAGAGGTGTGGCCAGCGCGGGTGCCCTCAGAAGGCATTGTTTGGGGTGGGGCCTCCACAACCCCTCAGGGCAGAAGCGGAACTCGGGAAAGACAGGAGGACCCCAGAGCTACCCCGTGCAGTTACCTCAGCTGACAGGTGGGGAAACTGAGGCCTGAGTGGAGGAGTGGTGCCTGGGACCCGGCTTTCAGCGTGGTGTGTTCACCATCCACTCCGAGGCACAGGCCTCCCTCAGCCGCCCTCCCTCCCCAGTGCTCCCCAAGGCCCCCACCGTCCCTGACTTTCTGGAAAAGGGACCTGTGGCCGAGCACGCTGCCCGGGGCCTCGGCTGCCCAAAGCGGGGAGAGCACACAGGTGTTCTGCTGACTGCCCCAGCTGTGAAGAGCTGAGGCGCAGGGGGCGCGGCCGGGGCGCAGCGGCCACGCCCAGGTGGGGACAGGCCTCGAGCGCGCACACTTGTGCTCTGGCCACTGTCTGGGAACGTGGTGCTATGGAACCAGGCCTCGCTTTCCGCAGCTGGGCACCCTCCATATGCCCGCAATGGCCCCCGTCGAGCGCCATCTCCTGGGCAGCTCACAAGGTGCGGGCTGGCTGCAAGAGTCCCAGCAGTGATGAACAGGGGCGGCCGACTTGCCAGTCAGCAGCTGGCAGGAGTGCAGGGAGGCAGGCTGGGGCCACATGGGCGCGGGACAGCGGAGGTCAGATTTCCCAGGGGTCGTGGGGCAGACACAGACCAGGACGCCCCAGGCTCACGCCAGCTCCCCGAACCCCGTAGACCCTGGGCAAGTCACCTGAACTGCGCGCACTCCATCTCCCGGAGCCTGAGCCCGGGCCAAGGCACCCTCAACATGCCGGGCACGTCTGACTGAGCAAAGGCGCACACCCGAGGCCCAGGGGCTGCGCTTCTCTTACCCAGGGAGGTCAGCGGCCCCGGGGTCGCCTGCGGGACGCGCTCGCAGAGCCCCTGCTGCCAGTCTTCCAGCCTGCCCCACTCCTGCTCCGAGACGCACGCCGCCGCGCCGTCCGTGGCCAGGGGCCCCTGGAAGCACAGGTCACCCACGCCAAGGTGGGCGACAGTCACATGAGCGAGCAGCCAAAACCCACGCCCGTCTCCTCCCATCTGCAAACCAGCAGCACCGCTGGCCAATGCGCGACTGGCCAGAGGCAAACTGTCTCAGCACATCAGCTTCCGGGACCCACGGCGAAGGCACCGGGTCTCCTGTCCTCCCCTTCCCGGCAAATACACCTCCCGTGACCTCCCCACTCGAGGCCAGTCCTCAGGCTGAGTTCTCTCTGCAGCAACTGGCACCACCACCTCATCCCACTGACCACTCCACCTGCCACGGCAGCCACCTGTGTTGGGTCACACTGTCCTTCTGACATCCCCCAAGCCCTCAGAAGTCCAGTGGTGGGTTGGCACCAGGTGCCCGGAGGTCTGGCTGTGGCAGGCAGCAGCCTCCCTCCACTGTGATAGAAGTCTGAGGCCCAGCTGAGTCCAAACAGGCCTCTGCACTTCACCCAAGCCCAGTGCCTGTACCTTGGGGGTCTCCCCCTTGCTGCCGGGGGGCAGCCGCAG